TCATGAGATCTGATGGGTTTATCAGGTGTTTCTGCTTTTGCTTCCTCCTCATTTTTCTCCTGCCACTGCCATGTAATAAGTGCCTTTCATCTCCTGCCATGATTATGAAGCCACCCCAGCCACGTGGAACTGTAAGTCCAATTAAACCTCTTTTTGTTCCCAGTTTCGGTTATGTCTTTGTCAGCAGCATGAAAAGAAGCTAATACAGGTAGGAGCTAATGGTAAGAGAGTTTGGGGGGAAATCTATCAAGGCCTATCCAGATTCTTCGTGGCCTCTCTGTATAGCACTTTTTGCTCCCTGGTATAGGGCAGGACCCCTTAGGAACGAGCGTCTTATGACCAACTATCAGTCAAGGTAGGTCAGAGAACTTCTTTAAGGGCAGCTCCTACACAGAAAGGCAAGAGAAGTTTAGGGTGACTTTCTGAGGTTGCTTCAGAAGGCTTCCAACCTCCTTCAGTTCAAAGTACTCAGCATTCCAAAGTGCCATACTTTAGGGTGTGATTTTTCTGAACCCCAACAGAGCTATGACTGAGTAGTGGAAGGGTAAAATTAAAATCCTTGAATTTCATGAATACTAAATTTTAAGAAATATTTTTTGAAAGCCATGCATGAAAAACTCTCAGAGATTTTACTTTTTTCTTCAGAAAACGTTTGATTAGCACCATCCCCATCTGACCACTTCTGCCGTTTCCAAGATTTCTAGGCTGACACATGCTCCACTCCTTTTCTCTATATAAAGACGCTCTGTGTCCCCACTTCTTGCTCCACTCACTGGAAACCCGACTTGTGGTTCAGCTGCTGACAAATTCTGGATGAATGCAAGCAGCTCATTTCACTGCCACTAAAATAAAGCACATGAAAGGGAATCATTTCATGTGTAAAATAATAAAGGACTTTATGATTTTTTTTTTTTTTTGAGGCAGGGTCTTGCTGTCACCCAGGCTGGAATGCAGTGGTGCAGTCGTAGCTCATTGCAGCCCCAATGTCCTAGGCTCATACAATTCTCCCGCTTTAGCCTCCTGAGTAGTTTGGAACTACAGGTCTGAGTGACTGCACTGGGCTGAGAAACCGTTAATGATCAAAAGTCTACCATCTCATTCACCAAAAAGTAGGTGAGAACAATATTTAGAAAGAAACAGACATTTGGAATTTTTTAAAAAAATGTGGCATATCTGTCCTGTAGATTTTTACTCAATAACAATGTATGACCAAAATAAACAATTTTACTGATGTGTGAAAATACATGAGTGAATTTCAAAAGAATTTTGTTGAGTAAAAGAAGCCAGACCTCCCAAATAAGACTACATAGTATATAATTCCATTTTAATAAAATTTCATAAACTAAAAATGAATCTATAATGGCAAAAATAAAACAAACAAAACCTCGGTGTTTGCCTAGGGCTACTAGGAAGGGAAGACAAGTTACAAGGGAGTACGAAGAAACTTTTAGCTGGGATGGAAACATTCATTCATAATCCTGATAGCAGCGCAGGTTTCACCAGTGTCTACCTAGGTCAAGTCTCATCAAATTGACACTTTCAATGCGTGCAATTTATCGTGCCTCTATTCTATGCAAATAAAGCTGTAACAAAAATAAACAGAGGAAGAACAGAGATTGATTCCTTCTCAGCTGAAATTTTCAACATGGGAACATGAATCATCTTTCTCTAGGCTAATTTTTCTTTTTTTTGGGGGGGGGACGGAGTTTTGCTCTTGTTACCCAGGCTGGAGTGCAATGGCGCGATCTTGACTCACCGCAACCTCCGCCTCCTGGGTTCAGGCAATTCTCCTGCCTCAGCCTCCTGACTAGCTGGGATTACAGGCACGCGCCACCATGCCCAGCTGATTTTTTGTATTTTTAGTAGAGACGGGGTTTCTCCGTGTTGACCAGGATGGTCTCGATCTCTTGACCTCGCGATCCACCCGCCTCGGCCTCCCAAAGTGCTGGGATTACAGGCGGCTAATTTTTCTTTATAATTTTACAGATATTTTTGCAGGTTTCCATTTCCCCACTAGCTCTGCAAGTCATGTCAGTAGGTCCTTTCTACTGACCAGACACTTGGGTATAATGAGACCTCCAGAGGCACGGGCTGGCCAAGGTGTAAAATGTGTCTTTTGTGGGTCCCTCTTGAGTTCCTGGTTATTTCCATTCCAGCCAGCAAGCCAGCATGGGCAGCAGGAGGCTGTCTCTGTGACTGTGCTGTGCTCTCTCTAGCGACCCTTTCTCCCGCGTATGCTGGGAGTTCATCAATGAGCGGCAGTTGGCACGCGGAGATGAGCAAAGTTCAGGTGGCCGGAGGAAAAATGGCTTCCTTGGGGAGAATGCATCACAGGGAGACCAAATTCCCCTGTGGAAGAGAAACACGAAAGGAAAATCAGAGCAGGGAGGAGCCATTCCCATGAACAGCTTGCAGGGGCAGGGGTCACCCCTGCCTCTGTTGGCCCCAGAGCTGGAGGGCTGCTGGAGGTGAGGTCCCAAAGGCCCTCCTTCCTCCTTCATGTCTTTGCCTGTCTGCATCTTGCATGAACAGATGGCACTGTGGCATCTGTGGTCATCATGCAGCAGATCCCCCAGAACCATCCTGTTTCATGCTCCCCAGAGTTGACCTGCTTAGAGGTCAGGGATAAGGCTTACAAACTGATAGTGAAGTGATATTTCCTTGTCCTTTCCAAATCTCCCTTTCCTATCCTGGTAGATATTGGTGACCGCCAAGCTCTTACAGCTAGAATCACTCAATTTCACATACCTGTTAAAAAGAAGAAGAAGAAAAAAAAGAAGAAACAAGTAGAAAAGAGATTAAGCCTTCTCAACAGGAATTCGACTATGATTATTTGGCAATTATTCCAACAGTATTATATGTATGGAAAATATTAGCTGTACTCGATTGAGGGGCTATTTAATAGTTAGGCACTTCACTAGGCACTTTATATACCTTATCCATCTTAATCCACACCATACCCCTGGAAACTGTTGTGATCATATTCCACAGATGAGAAAATTGAAGCTCTAGAATACAGAGTGACTTCCCTAAGACCACATGGAGCTACTGAGATTTGAACTCAGGTATGTCTAGCTGTAAACCAAGTTCTCTTTCTTCCATAGCAGACCACCAACTCATTCCCCGGGCAGCACTGAATTAGACACAGTTGGCTTGCCTCACATCTCTTTGTCCAGACTCCTACTTTGGGTTTTGTATGCTCTGGGCCAAGTCTCTCCATACCCAGGCTTGTAACAGGTTGTCAAAAACTACGTTGGCTGGTAAAGAATTTCGGTACGGCACTTCCATTTCAGAACAGAAACTAAAAGACCAAAAAGCAGTCTGAGCGTCCATGAATGAATCTGGAAGGCTCTAGTGGGGTCAACAATGCACAGTGCAGCTGCATTTTCTTGCCTTTTCCAAATCTTCCTTTCCTATCCTGGTAGAGATCGCTGACCTCTGAGCTCTTTCTCAAATCACTCCCAAGCAATCTCATGGTCAAGGAGACTATTTTGAGACAGGAGGGGCATGGGTGAGCCCCAGAGCAGAGTGTCTCAGGGGTTACTAGGGGGATGACCATGTCAGGTCCCCTCTGTTCATGGAGCCAGACGTGTCCATCCCTGAGGCGTCTGTGGCATTAATTTGTTTTCCTTCCTGGGTCTGCCAGGGCTTCAATGTCCTCCCATAAAAAGTGATGGGGAGGGAGAGCAGAAAGAGTAACAAGAGGAAATGAAAGCTCTTTTGGGAAAGGCAACTGTGACAAATTGAAAGGGTGGAGGAAATATGAGCACAAACAAGAGAGGGGAGAACAGGCTGGGAGAGAAGGAGGAAAAGAGGCCTGTGTCTGCAGACTCTGGACTACAGAGCACCGATTTGTTTTCTATAAAAAGAGATGTGTTATTTTTCCCCCTCTCTTGGCAAATAATGACAAAGAAGGATGGTTGCAGAGTTTGCTGAAATGGAATAGTCTGTGGGGGTATTCCGAGTGAATGAAATGTACTCTCAGATATCTTATCATGTTCCCCACCAACTTGTTTTTATTTCAAATTGCCTACAACAGGTGCCGGAGTCCCTGGGCAAAGTATAATATCGTACCTTGCAACAGGTGTGCGTGGAGCACACATAGAAACAGTAAAGAAAGGTTACACAACATGACTGGTCTCATATGGCTTGGAGCAGCTCTAGAATTTAAAACATTTCCCTACCCTTGAGTTAAATTGGGCCCCCATGCTATGTGTTCTGTAACTTAATATGAAAGGCTGCTGATGGATGGGTTGCCACCATGGCCACCAAAGTCAGTGGTGGGCACCTGCAGGGAACACGTGTGTCCTGAGTGGACAGTACTGCAAATACAGCCCTTCCTGAAATGTTCACTTCTCAAAGCGCAGTGTTTGCGCGCATGTGCAGCAGGCTCTCCCCTGCACTTTGGAAAGATGAAACAGTTTAATGCAGATGTCAGCCATACCAAAGACACTTCTCAAGATGCAGCCCAAACAGAATAAACTGTAGTCTGTGAAAACATTTTCAGCACCCTCATTCTACTTTTTTTCTTGCTCAAGAAAGCAGATATGAATGCAAGTGACTGACAGTGGTGGCATTGAACTGGTTCTAATTTGATGGAAAAATAAAATCCCTATCCTTCTATTTTCCACTTGTAACAGACTTACAGATGCACCACCTGCAGCTGATGATGATATGTCCGTGTGAGATCCAGTACTACATCTGAGAACCACTGGTTAAAAAGGACGTTTTAAATGATAAAGTATGTCACAGCAATATAGAACATTATGTTTTCTCCAGGTGTTTTCCTGCATGGCATTTGAAATGGAGCAGAACATTCTCAGCAGGTAGAAGGTTAACCAGGTGTATCATTCAGGATTCTGAGGTGCAAGCAACAGAAACAGATTCTGTCTGCTTTAAGCACAAAAAAGATGTATTAAAAGGGTAACATTTGGCTCACAGAGTTGCTGACGATATGGAGGACCTGAACATTCAGAACAATATCCCAAACAGCTGTAGAGCTTGCCTGGTAAGGGTCTGGACTCTGCTGGGCTGCCTCTGAGCCCTAATGCTATGACCAGCCCCACCTAAACCAGCAGCACCAGCTCTGCTGGCTCAAAGTCTCCATGTTTCTGCAAACACTGCTACTACCAAAAGGTATGCCTCGTGGCCCCTGGCCCTATGAGGCAGCCCCAGAGGACTGGCCAAGTGGAGGATATGAGTTGGAATCCTGGCATGTGCTTGGTAGTAGGTGTATTATGAGGGGAAATCAGTGGATAATCTTAATTCTGACATTTTGCTAGACTGTGGTCTGGGCCACCATGTTTCTCATCTACATCTCTATCCCCAGGCCCTAGCATAATACCTGGCACTTAGAAAGGGCTCAATAAGCATTTGTTGAAATGAATTAAAATTGAATTTTAAATTTAGAAGCACTCTTTCCAAGGGCTGGCTGCCAGTCACTATTGCAAATTAGTTCTAGTAAATCAAAGTAAATTAGAAATGCAATCAAAAATAGAGTCTCTAAGTCTAGTGGTTATATGCACTTACCTACCATAGCATTTGCCCTTAGACCTGTGGCTTAGTGGTTTGTTTGTTGCTTAAGCTCAAAGACAGCTTTACCTTTTCTAGTAATAACGATGTGTGCATGTGACTGTGTCTCTGTGTGTCTGTGCATCTCCATCCATGTAAGCATATTGACTGAAGGTTATTTTTGAACCAAGAAATGAAATTAACATTAGCCTTCATCTGGAGGCCAGAGAATTCCAGAGTATTTGCTCTTGTTTGATGGGGGAGAGGGAAAGGAAGGATGATCCTTTCCCCTGTGCAATCTCTCTCTCTCAATCTCTCTAGAAACCCATTTGCAGTGGGTGGGCTACTATATTAATCAAATATGCACATCTTGTTCTCACTTAGAAGTGTGAGCTAAACAAACGGTACACATGGACATAAAGATGAAGAAAATAGACTCTAGGGATTCCAAAGCTGGGAGGAAAAGCGGAGGGCGAGGGTTGAAAAATTACCTACTGGGTGCAACGTCTAATATTTGGGTAATGGGCATCCTAGAAGCCCAATCTCCACCATTATGCATGTAATATCTATGTAACAAACAAGCACATGTATCCCCTGAATCTAAATAACATTTAATAAAAGAAATGTGCACATAATATCCTTATTGAATTACTGCAGATGTTTTGCCCTGTTCATTTCTTCCTGGTCACTTGCAGAATTCCAGAGTTCAAGACTGCAGAGTAGACAGCAATGTAGAAGATCATTCCTTCAGCAGATTCAGCAAGATGGCTATCTTAAAACAAATTAGTGTGGGAGCATTGGTGTACGATTGAAGTATGGATTACTTCCTGTAGCATACATGCCAAAGAGTTTTAATTGAATCTACGTAAGTCATAAATTTTTATGCTTTTGATTCAGAAAAATCCTTTTAAAGTGCAGAATCTCAAGGTCATCACATTTGGAGAATACCACCTTTCTTGACCCGGAATATCCTTCTTCTTCTGTCTTCCAACATCAGAGCTCAAGGCTCTCAGGCCTTCAGACTCTGGGACTTAACACCAGAAGCCCCTCATCCCTCACTCCCATTTTGGTTCTCAGGTTTCAGACTCAGTCTGATTCATACCACTGGCTTCCCTGGTTCTCCAGCTTCCAAAGGCCATATTGTGGGACTTCTTAGCCTCCGTAAGTGTGTGAAACAATTCCCGTAATAAATTCCCTCGTATATAAGATATACATATCTTATTGGTTCTGTTTCTCTGGGCAACCCTGACTAATATAGATTTTGGTGCTTAAATATCATCATGAACTAAGTTCCATCTGTTTTAACTTCAATTGGATTAAAGTCTGAATGTGTCCATTTTCTGCCATAAAGAGCTATTTTCTCAGAGTAGGAGGGTTGTGTGTGTGTGCATGTGCATGTGCGTGTGTGTGTATGTGTGAAGTTTCCCTAAGTGAATATTTTCCCTCATTGCTGCAGAAATTATTTTTTAATATGTTTTGCATTTTTTCATTTTGAAAAATGTAGCCGCTTGATTCTCACTATGGTTAAAATAAGTATATATGAAATGGAAAAAACCTAGCAAGATATTAAAAATATCTATGAGTAGAATAATGATAGTTGCATTATTTTCTTTTACTCTTCTGTAGTTTCCAGTTTTTCAATAATGAGCATGTATTGCTTTCATTATCAGAAGAAAAATACATTTTACAGGCTTATTTTACAATATTATAATTCTTGCATTCTTAAAAACTCCCATTCTGAAAAGTTATGCGCCAAAAATAACAGCATTTACAGAGAAAACAGGATTGGGACAAATCACTGAAACCTATGGAAGTTTGAAACCAGAATATCAGTAAAGATCACTGGTAATCCTAATACTGACACACAGGTATATACAGGAATACGAAGCCTATGGCTAATACTTCCTCTTTTGAAATCTATTTTAGAGGGCATTCACTTTTGACTGATAACATTTTCATCAATATCAAAATTTGGATCTAGGGTACAGCCTTCTTCATTAGCTCACTGTTTTGACACAGGGCATGATATCTTTGCAGTTTCTTTCTCTGTACTCTCAGTCTGCCCAAATAGCTTAGGACACTACTTGAACTACAGAAAGGCAAGACTGCAGATTTTCAGGGTATTTTTTCCTGAAGTTTTAGCAATTTATGTATGTATGTATGTATGTATTTATTTTGAGGTGGAATCTCACTCTGTCGCCCAGGCTGGAGTGCAGTGGCGTGATCTTGGCCCACTGCAACCTCTGCCTCCCAGCTTCAAGCAATTCCCTGTCTCAGCCTCCCGAGTAGCTGAGGTTACAGGCTCCCACCACCATGCCCGGCTAATTTGTTTTGTATTTTTAGTAGGGACGAGGTTTCTTGATCCTGGCCAGGCTGGTCTTCAACTCCTGACCTTGTGATCCACCTGTCACAGCCTCCCAAACTGCTGGGATTACAGATGTGAGCCACCACACCTGGCCTTAGCTTGTATTTTTAAGACTTCAGTTTTGAAAACGTTTACTTCAAATTGCTTCAAAATATTAACATGCTGGAGAAAGTTGCATCAGAACCAACACAACTTCCACATAATACTGACTCATCCCCTGTTTGCTGATCACTTGTGAGCTCATTTGTATTAAAAAAAAAATGTATTGCCACAGGACAGACTTTATTAAAAACGCTATGCCCAGTAAAGGTGGTGTCCAGAATGTAGACAGCTGGAGAGAACAAGAAGAAGAAACATATAAGCAGAGCAGCCAAGTAGTCCGAAATCTAAGGAAAGACAGGCTCCTCCTAGAAAAGATGGGCATGAACACTGGCTCCCTTAAGGCAGAGCAGAGTGGGAAGAGACACCATTTGCCATCCTCATGGATATGAAGAGTTAAGCTAAAATGTTAGTGAATAGTAAAAAAAAAAAAAAAAAAAAAAAACTCTGGCTGCTGAGACAGTATAGAACCCACAGACATAAGAGACATCGTATCTACACCAAGGCTCTTCTCCAGGGACCTTCTCCAGGGGCTCACAGGTAAGACTGGGGCAATGGTGGGAGACCTGAGAAAGCAGATTTGGAGGAAGAAGTAGCTGCCACTGCAGGAAAAGCAAAAGGCTTCTTTTCCATTGAGCAAAAGCCTTGAGCCCCTGAAGATGGGCAACAAATCTTGACACCTGCAGGATACAGGGAAAGGGTAAAGAGAAAAACACTGTTACCTCTGTGAAAGGGGCAGGAGGCATTCCTGGGCCAAGGATCCTACACCAATGCTGTGAGAGGTCTTCTACTGCTAAAGGAGGGCAGGAAGACTCACCAAAGACACAGGGCACAGTTTGCCTGCCATAGGGAGTGGGGTAGAATCCCTGAGAAAACCCCAAGAATGAGATCCAGGATACAGATCCTGCCTGAGACTGAGGGTGAGCAGCGAAAGAAAGACCAGCCCCCTCCCACCTTACACCACCAGCAAATCCAAGTAACAAGTAACAGCTGTCCACTGTTATATAAAACACATAAGAATATATTAAAAGAGACTCTCTTTGAGGCACAGGCACATAGTAAAGGCTGAAACATGGTGGTGGACAAGAATCTTTGAGAATAAGCCTCTAGAATCCTATTTCCCCTACCCTACGTCTGACTCAAAGTTAGACCAGGATTTCTCAACCTCATCTTATTAACACTGTTGGCCAGATAATTATTTGCTGTGGGGAGCTATCTGTGCATTGTAGTACGTTTAGCAGCATCCCTGGCTTCTACCCACTAAATTCCAGTATCATGTTTTTCTCCCAGTTGTGATAATTAAAAAAAGTCTCCAGACATTGCCAAATATTCACTGGGGGGGTGGAAATCACCCGTGGTTGGAAAACCACTGCATTAGAAGAATTGGAAGCTACTATTGAACAAAAGAGGGCCACAAACCCAAACCCAAGTCCACTTCAACTCCCAACTAGATTGACTCAACACTAAAGCCCAGACAGAAGAAAAGACATGCTCATTTCCAGACAGAGATAATGGTTATCTCACTCTCTGTTATTTTACCCATGATTCCAGCACTGTACAAAATATCATGAGACAGAGGAAGAAGCAGAAAAAAATCAACTTGTTGTTAAGAGACAAAGTTATCAACCGGATCAAACTCAAGAGATGACCTGGATGTTGGTACTAAGAGACAGGAAATTACTATAATTAATATTTAAAAGCTCTAGTGGACTAGTGAAGAACATGAATAAACAGATGAAAAAACTGAGCAGAGAGAGGAAAACTGTAACAAAGAGTCAAATGACAATGCCAAAAATAAAAAGAGATGAAGAATGAATGCCTTTGAGGGCTCACAAACAGAACTGACACAGTTGAGGATTGGTGAACTTGAAAACAGGTCAAGAGAAATTATCCAACCTGAAACACCAAAAGAAATAAAAAGTAAGAAAAGCAGACTAGAACTGTAAGACAATATCAAATTGTTCAATGCATCTGTAATTGAAATCCCAAAGGATAAGAAAGAGACAGAGAAGAAGAAATATTTGAAGAGACAATGGCATAGAATTTTCCAAAAATAAAGAAAAACATCACTGGACAGATCCAAGCAGCTCAGATATCCCAAAGCATGAGAAATAAAAGAGAAGGAGGAGAAGGAGGAAGGGGAGGAGGAGGAAGAAGAGAAACAATAGCCTGACACAACCTATGCATGCAAACTCCTATAAACAAAACTTAAAGAAAAATAGACCCAAAGAAAAAGATGAGAATTACAACTGATTTCTATTCTGAAGCTATACAATCCAGAAGACAACAGAGTGAAAAATGCAAAGAACTGAAAGGAAATATACAAACAAACAAACAAATAAACAAACAGTAAATCCAGAATTCTATATCTAGCCAGAATATTTTTCAAAATGAAAGTAAAGTAAATACTGTTTTAGGCAAACAAAGGCTGAGAGAATTCACTACCTACAACTCTGCACCTCCAGGAATGTTAAAAGAGGCCCTTTTAGACAGATATGACATCCAACAGACACTTAAATTTACAAACAAAAAATAAAGATCTCTGGAAATGGTTAAAATAAAGGTAAAAATATTTTTTGTTATGTTTAATCACTCTCTAGAATGAAAGATAATTGACTCTGTAAAACAAAAATAGTAGGAGGGAGGAATGAGAAGTTTACTGTTGTAAGGTCCTTACATTACACATGAAGCCTTACATTATTTGACAGTAATTAATTGTGACATATATTGTAAAACATAGGGCATTCATTAAAAAATTTTAAAGGCATAAATAATAAGTCAATACTAGAGACAAAATTGAGTAAAAAGTATTCAATCCAAAAGCAGGCAGGCAAAGGAGAACAAAACAACAAAAATAACACATTAAATAAAAAACAAATAGCAACATGGCAGATTTAAGTCCAACCACGTCAATAATTATATTAAATGTAAATGACTAACGACATCAAATTAAAAGGCAGAAATTGTCAGTTTGGTTAAAAAAGCAAGATCCAACCAGATGCTATGTATAAGAAACCTACTTTAAATATAAAAATATACAGAGGTTGAAAGTTAAAAGATGAAAAAGATACACCAAGTATATCAAGTAAATGCTAATCAAAATAAAGCAAACATGATTGTATTAATATCAAAGTAGACTTTAGAATAAGAAATATTAATAGGGTTACAAAATGATAGAATAATAATGGGGGGTCGATTCATCAGGAAGACGTAACAATCCTAGAGAAATATGGACTGAACAACAGAACTTCAAAATGCATGAAACAAAAGCTGATAGAACTGAAAAAAGAAATAGATAAATTCAAAATTGTGACTAGAGTTCAACGATTCTGTCTCAGCAATAGATAGAAAGGTAGACAGAAAATCAGTAAGGAGATAGGTGACTGAAGAACGCTATCAACCAACTTGAGCTAACTGACACTCACAGAGCACTCCATCCAACAGTAGCACAATACACATTCCCTTTTCACATGTACATGGAACATTCACAAGATAGAACATATTCTGGGCCATAAAATAAATCTTTGCACATTTAAATGAACCGAAGTGATACAAAGTATGTTCTCCTGCCACAGTTCTGGTTTATAGAATTAAACTGGAAGTCAACAACAAAACAATATCTGAAAAACCCACAATATATAGAAATTAAATAATATACTTCTACATAACCTGTTATCAAAGTGGAAGTTACAAGTGAGTTAGAAAAAATTTTTGAGAAGTCTAGTCTTCACAGCTCTGTGCCCTCTGCTCCTAGAAGCCCAGCCTCTGTGGCCCTGTGACCTGCAGATATTGGGAGATCCACAGCTAAGACACCAGGATCCCCTGGAAGATTAGAAATAAAACTTTCTGGATATAGAATCTCTACAATCATGGTGGATGGGAGGCAAAACTAGAATGCAGCTCCAACTCAGATGAACAAAGCAGTGTGTGCAGGCTCACATCGTGAATTTTTGCTCCAGGATGGCTACAGGAATAAATCAGGAAACCTGAGAGGATCCACAGACCCCCTGAAAAAAGTGGATTGCTCCTGCAGAACTCAGGAAACACCCCTAATACTGTGCTGGTATCCATGGCTGAGAGAGCCATAGACAGTTCACATCACAGGACTCTGTGCAGACCACTGCCAATACCTGCCTGAAGTCTGGTAGACTTGCTGGGTGGCTAGATCCAGAAGAGAGATAATAATCACTACAGCTCAGCACTTAGGAAGTCACATCCATAGGAAAAGGGGGAGAGTACTATATCAAGGGAATACCCTGTGGGACAAAAGAATCTGGACAACAGCCTTCAGCCCTAGACCATCCCTCTGACAGAGCCTACCTAAATGAGAAGGAACCAGAAAACCAACTCTGATAGTATTACAAGACGAAGTTCTTTAACATTCCCAAAAAATCACACTGGCTCACAAATATACCCAAACCAAGAAGAAATCCCTGATTTACCTGAAAAAGAATTTAGGAGGTTAGTTATTAAGCTAATCAGGGAGGCACCAAAGAAAGGTGAAGCTCAATGCAAAGAAATCCAAAATCCTTCACTTCACAAGAAGTGAAGGAAGAAACATCAAGGAAATAGATAGCATAAAGAAAAGACAATCAAAACTTCAAATGAACACACTTACAGAAATGCAAAATGTTCTAGAAAGTCTCGGAAATAGAATTGAACAAGTAGAAGAAAGAAATTCAGGCTCAAAGACAAGGTCTTCCAATTAGCCCAGTCCAACAAAGACAAAGAAAAAAGAATAAGAAAATACAAACAAAACCTTCAAGAAATCTGGGCGTGTGTTAACGAACAAACCTAAGAATAATTAATGTTCCTGAGGAAGAAACAAAATCTAAAATTTGGAAAACATATTTGGGGCAATAATTGAGGAAAACTTCTCCAGCCTTGCTAAAGACCTAGACATCCAAATACAAGAAGCACAAAGAACACCTGAGACATTCATTGCAAAAAGATCATCACCTAGGCACATTGTCATCAGGTTATCTAAAGTTAAGAGGAAGGAAAGAATCTTAAGAGTTGTGAGACAGAAGTACCAGGTAACCAATAAAGGAAAACCTATCAGATTAACAGCAGGTTTCTCAGCAGAAACCCTACAAGCTAGAAGGGATTGAGGCCCTATTTTCAGCCTCCTCAAACAAAACAATTATCAGCCAAGAATTTTGTATCCAGTGAAACTATGCTTCATATATGAAGAAAAGATACAGTATTTTTCAGACAAACACTGAGAGAATTCACCACTACCAAGCCACCACTATAAGAACTGCTACAAGGAGCTCTAAATATTGAAGCAAATGCTGAAAACACATCAAAACAGAACCTCTTTAAAGCATAAATCTCACAGGATCTATGAAACAAAAAAAAATACAATTAAAAAAACAAAAACAAAAAACCAGGGTATACAGGCAACAAATAGCACAATGACTGGAATGCCACCTCATATCTCAATACTAACGTTGAATGTAAATGGCCTAAATGCTCCACTTAAAAGGTACATAATTGCAGAATGGGTAAGAATTCACCAACCAACTATCTGCTGCCTTCATGATACTCACCTAATACATAAGGACTCACACAAATTTAAGGTAAAGGGGTAGGAAAAGACATTTCATGTAAATGGACACCAACTATTTTTTATATTGGACAAAACAAACTTTAAAGCAACAGCAATTAAAAAGACAAAGAAGCACATTACATAATGATAAAAAGCCTTGTTCAACAGGAAAATATCACAGTCCTAAACATACAGGCATCTAATACTGGGAGCTCCCAAACTTATAAAACAATTACTAATAGACCTAAGAAATGAGACAGACAGTGACACAATAATAGTGAGGGACTTTAATACTCCACTTACAGCACTAGACAGGTCCTCAAGACAGAAAGTCAACAAAGAAACAATGGATTTAAACTCTACTCTTGAACAAATGGACTTAACAGATATATACAGAACATTCTATCCAACAACTGCAGAAAATACATTCTATTCAAGAGTGCATGGAACTTTCTCCAAGATAAATCATATGATGGGCCACAAAACAAGCCTCAATAAATTTAAGAAAACTGAAATTATATCAAGCACTGTCTCAGACCACATTGGAATAAAACCAGAAATCAACTCCAAAAGGAACTATGCAAATACATGGAAATTAAATAACCTGCTCTGGAATGATCATTGGGTCAGAAATGAAATCAAGATGGATTAAAAAATTCCTTGAACTGAAAAAGAATAGTGACACAACCTAACAAAACCTCTGAGACACAGCAAAGGTGGTGCTAAGAGAAAAAAGGGGAAAAAGGGATGAACAAAGTCTCCAAGAAATGTGGCACTATATGAAAAGACCTAATCTACGTTTGATAGGTGTACCTGAATGCGACGAAGAGAATGAATCCAAGCTGGAAAATACTCTTCAGGATATTATCCAGGAAAACTTCCCCAACCTAGCAAGGTAGGCCAATATTCAAGTCCAGAAAATACAGAGAACACCACAAAGATATTCCTCACAAAGAGCAACCCCAAGACACATAATCGTCAGATTCACCAGGGTTGAAATGAAGGAGAAAATACTAAGGGCAGCCAGAGAGAAAGGTCGGGTTACCCATAAAGGGAAGCCCATCAGACTCACAGCAGATCTCTCAGTAGAAACCCTACAAGCCAGAAGAGAGTGGGGGCCAATATTCAACATCCTTAAAGAAAAGAACTTTCAACCCAGAATCTCATATCCAGCCAAACTAAGCTTCACAAGGGAAGGAAAAATAAAATCCTTTGCGAACAAGCAAGGACTCAGAGATTTCGTCACCACCAGGCCTGCTTTACAAGAGCTCCTGAAAGAGGCTCTACACATATAAAGGAACAAACAGTGCCAGTCCCTCCAAAAACATGCCAAATGGTAAAGAGAATCAACACAATGAAGAATCTGCATCAACTAATGGGCAAAACAGCCAGCTAGCACCAAAATGGCAGTATCAAATTCACACATAACAATATTAACCATAAATGTAAATGGACTAAATGCCCCAATCAAAAGACACAGACTGGCAAATTGGATAAAAAGCCAAAACCCATTGGTGTGCTGTATCCAGGAAACCCATCTCACATGCAAGGATACACAAAGGCTCAAAATAAAGGGATGGAGGAAGATTTACCAAGCAAATGGACAGCAAAAAAAAGCAGGAGTTGCAATTCTCATTTCTGATAAAATAGACTTTAAAGCAACAAAGATCAAAAGAGACAAAGAAGGACATTACATAATGGTAAAAGGATCAATGCAACAAGAGCTAACGATCCTAAATATATACGCACCCAATACAGGAGCCCCTAGATACATAAGGCAAGTTCTTAATGACTTACAAAGAGACTTAGACTCCCACACAATTATAGTGGGAGACTAACAGCCCACTGTCAATCCTAGACAGATCAACCAGACAGAAAATTAACAAGGCTATCCAGGACTTGAACTCAGACCTGGACCAAGCAAACCTAATAGACATTTACAGAACTCTCCACCCCAAATCCACAGAATATACATTCTTCTCAGCACCACATCACACCTACTCTAAAATTGACCACATAATTGGGAGTAAATCATGCCTCAGGAAATGCAAAAGAAGGGAAATCATAAGAAACAGTCTCTCAGACCACAGTGCAATCAAGTTAGAACTCAGAATTCAAAAACTAACTCAGAACCGCACAGCTTCATGGAAACTGAACAACTTGCTCTTGAATGGTGATTGGATAAACAATGAAATGAAGGCATAAAGATGTTCTTCAAAACGAACGAGAATGAAGACACAACATACCAGAATCTCTGGGGCACATTTAAAGCAGTCTGTAGAAGAAAATATATAGCAAGAAGTGCCCACATGAGAAGAAAGGAGACATCTAAAATTGACACCCTATCATCAAAATTGAAAGAGCTAGAGGAGCAAGATCAAAAAACCTCAAAACCTAGCAGAAGACAAGAAATAGCAAAGATCAGAGCAGAACTGAAGGAGATAGAGACACAAAAAACCCTTCAAAAAATCAATAAATCCAGGAGCTGGTTCTTTGAAAAGATCAACAAAATAGACCACTAGCCAGATTAATAAAAAAGAAAAGAGAGCATAACCAAATTGATGCAATAAAAAACGATAAAGGGGATATCACCACAGATTCCACAGAAATTCAAACCATCATCAGAGATTATTACAAACAACGTATGCACATAAACTAGTAAACCTGGAAGAAATGGATAAATTCCTGGACACTTGCCTCCTCCCAAGCCTAAACCAGGAAGAAACCGAAACCCTGAACAGACCCATAACAAGGTCTGAAGTTGAGGCAGCAATTAAGAGCCTACCACCCAAAAAAAGCCCAAGTCCAGATGGGTTCACAGCTGAATTCTACCAGACATACAAAGAGGAGCTGGTACCATTCCTTCTGAAACTATTCCAAATAATCCAAAAAAAGGGAATCCTTCCCAAATCATCTTATGACACCAACATCATCCTGATTCCAAAACCCGGCAGAGACTCAACAAGAAAAGAAAACTTCAGGTCAATATCCATGATGAACATAGATGCAAAAATCTTCAATAAAATACTGACAAGCCGATTGCAACAGCACATCAAAAAGCTTATCCACCATGATCAAGTAGGCTTCATCCCGGGGATGCAAGGCTGGTTCAACATATGCAAGTCTATAAGCGTAATTCACCACATAAACAGAACCAAAGACAAAAACCACATGATTATCTCAATTGATGCAGAGAAGGCCTTTGACAAAATTCAACAGCCCTTTAGGCTAAAAACCCTCAATAAGCTAGGTATTGATGGAACGTATCTCAAAATAATAAA